CACTTTGACATGATGAAAAACCTATAAAACTTGTACAGCCACAGAAAGACAGTCCTTAGGCCAGCACAAATGGACTGAATAGAATCGTCACTGAAATGCACTATTAACCTAAGAAGTAGATTTAAAACACAGTATGTCATCATTCCTTTGTTTGGATAGATCACCAATATGAGATTAATTACATCTAGAAGTAGGCAGGGAAGGTGCTTGCAAGTATTTTTGTAGAGGTAGCAGGCATATGTTGCCAACTTGGTGACATTCCTTTAGCCTCTAACCCCACTGGAAGACATTCAGGAATGACTGTCCCTCTCTACTCTCACATCAGTCTCCTCCCCGTCAAGTGCAGGCTTCACCTTTAGCACCCCTGAAATGAAATTAAATTACATGTAATGTATATATGTATATCAACATAAAGTATATGCATTAAATAGCAGTTGATATATACCTGGTACATACAAGGTTTGGTGATCCTCTATGCCACGCAATATACAAAAATTTCCACGATGGAGTACAGGGGGAAGATGACCCCATCTCAACCTATGCAACCACCCCCTTCTGTATGCAATTCCTAAAAGGTTCACATTCTGGCAGAATCTGTCCTGCATGTCATAAACTGAACATGGGGAAGACACTGATGCCATATTCTTCTGAATATTGTTTCTGAGTGGCATCTACTTTCTGTTTAACTGTTTGATAAATAAACTAGCATCACAACAAATGATAAACCAACCACAGAAAACACCATTGCATAATACCAGTCTGTCCATTATGATGAGAATGAAATGATAAGGTCACACACAATTAATGTGTAAGCATACCATATCATGTGAAATAAACATGAAAAAAGGCAGGGACGAATGAGCTCTGAAAAGGAATTGATACAAAATTGACTAGGTTGGTTGTTAAGATTTTAAGTACAGTATTATGACAGTATTTTAATATATATATCTTTTCTCTGTCATATCAGGGGGGTGTAATACTGTACATATCAACTATTTCAACACTTAGGTTGGTAGATTTAATATCAATTTGGGTTAGTGAAAATGTTCAATATTTACTATTAAAGATAGGTTGGGCTAGTAGAAATTGTACACCTGAAAACATGAAAAATGAAACAAAATTCATTTGGAAAAATATAGAACAGGGACACCTAAAGCGAATAATTTTGTTTTAAATAATGGCACAGTGCATCAAATAAATAGGGCATCTATTTGGCAAGGCCCATATAAATTTCAGACATAGTCAAATTGACATAATTCCAATATTTGAATAATCATTATCCATCGAAAAAACTAATTTATTATAACATTTATAACTCAATTGTATTACATGTGTAGTCCTACTTACTGACACACTCATGAGAATTTCAGTGGGATGGATATATAGTTGTCTCTGCCAGGAAAGTTTATAGGAGAAAAAGTCATCTCTTCCACTTATAACATACTGTATAAGGATGTGGTCATCCCAGTAAGTTGAACTCTTAACACATAGAAAAATATTCTGAGTCACACAAGTAGGTAAATTTAAATTTAAATTTTATATGATATTGTTGTATTTTTTTCCCTCTGATATGAGTGGTTAAGCCAGCAACTTAAGCAATATTATAAATGCATTAAGTTCATAGGTTTAAATTCCATACTGCTTTATTATTATTATTGCATGAAAATAAATATGTTTGTTTTTGCTAATAGTTCTGCCCATTACAGTTTCTATTCATGATTTGATTTTTAAAGCATTTTGTCATTAATCTCATTATACAATAAAAATAATACCAATTATTCTTAATGTTTCCATACCTTGAAAGATAATGCACGTTGATATTATTGAAGTGCAGAAAACATGAATTGCCGAAGGACTTAGATTTATTTGTGTTTTGAAACTGGAAGTGTACACGTGAAAGTTAGATCTGCTTGTCCCACACGCCTAAACCTGGCCAACATTTAGCACGATTACAAGCCAAACAAACGGGAAAGAAGTGACTGAACTAATCGTCTATTTCTACAGCTATCACACTATACAATCCATATACTATAAATTACTACATACTACATGTCACAACTTTTAACGCAGCAACTGTGTCTGTCAACTTCCGTAGCAAATGTAAACAATCTACCGGAAGTGTGCGCACCAGAAATCAATGAAATCCCTGGCGCCTCGATATTTAAGTCGATTTGATTAATTATTGATATCTAAAGTGTCTAATATTTTTTGAATAATTAAGAGATAGTCTTCTAGTTGCAGAAGGTATATAAGTTGTATATGTTTCGGGAATAAAAAAAGTGATATTTTACATTCTTGTATAGCAAGTGAGATTTCCGTTTTCGCGCGAAACAGAAATATAATACAGAATTATGACGCCAATCGGAATTCCGGTTTTCTCCCTATTCATTTGCTAGAAGTCACTTTCGGTTTCTCCACTGGAGAGCTATTTCCGGACGAAAAAAATCAAGGGCAATGTGTAGAAAGGGGAAGCAACTCTGTTTACGCACGCATGTGTTACCATTAAAGAGCTTCGCTCTGGCGCTTTTGGCACCCGAGAGCTACGCTCTTATTAAAACATTCGGCCAATTCTGACTATATGCATTTTTACTTAAAAAATATTAATTCGAGGCTCTTATATGTATCTACTGCTTTATCACAAACCTAGATTGTAGGTTGTCTCAAAGCGTTCGCAAATTATCATTCGTGGTTATAGGGCATTTGCAACCAGCCAATATCTTTCTCTAATCCCTGGGGAGCATACAGCTGTTGCTGCCATTTCGGCGCTCACAGCTACCATTCATCAATTCAAGCACTGCCCAACCACATGCTCATTTACAGCTGAGTAGACTGGAATAAGCGGAGTAAAGTATCTTGCTCAAAGATACAACAAAGTGCCGTGTCATGACGCGAATCCGCAATCCTTTAGTCACGAGCCCGGTGTCCTACCACTAGACTACCGTACTTATTCACGATCAGTTGACTATGTCAGAACCCTTTTGACTAAAGCTAACAGCAGTTTGATCAACTATGACGATCTGTTGACTGAGTCACAGCCTTTTGATCAGTTACATTGTATCGACAACCTGTTGCCCGTCCCCTAGCCCCCGCCCCTTTATTCGAGGTATATCTTCCCCACACTCTAGGGCCCTTCGTTTAATTCAGGTTCCCTCTCCGTTCTTTAGGTCCCCAACTTATAATGAAGGAATCTTTCTCGTACTCTAGGTCCCCTCCATGTATTCGAGGCATTTCCCACATACCCAAAGTACCCTCCCCGTACTCTAGTTCCCCTCACTATATTCGAAGTATCTGAATTTGAACAACGGATTGGGCACATGGTATTACAGTTGATCATGGTTTTCTTCCGTCATACATTAACAATGATACATGGCATGATGATAAGGCATATGCATGAAGTAAGTATATAAAAATATTGCTAAATAAGATGAAAATATGCGCATGTCTAAAACGTAAGTGTTAAAGTCCATCGCAAGATTTGAATTGCCAACTGTAGTCATCATGATAGCGAGATAACGACTTGTCATTATTATCAAATCAATTAATTATCGTGCTAAATTATGCCAGAGGCGGATCTATGAGTGAGGGTGGGGTCAGACTATATTTTAACAACATAACAAAAATCGCTTCGCCCCGCTCAGCGTTGCTGATTTAGTACTGAAGCATTAAAACAAATCTTTATCATGTTTTCAGATAATTGACTGCTAATTCTTATATGTGCCTGATTATAGCAACATTTAACTGATTGAAAAAAACTAAAAGTAGCAGAAAACCTTTTGACAAATGTTGAAAGAATTTTTTAAAACACTCACACACAGAGCATTTCTTAATCTTTCTACAGTTTTATGGAAAAAATTCAAATACCATACTGTATTATAAATTATTGTGAGTGGCTGGGGTCCAAACAAACTGCAGATTAAAGTCACATCCTTACGATCAACTGTCTACTATCTGCAGACTGTATTCCCAGCCTTATGATCATCTTTCAACCCTGTGCAGAATGTAGTCACATCCTTACGATCAACTGTCGACTATCTTCAGACTGTATTCACAGCCTTATGATCATCTGACAACCCTATGCAGAATGTAGTCACAGTCTTATGATCATCTGTAGACCATCTGCAGACAGTCGTCACATCCTTATGATCAACTGTCGATTATCTGCTGGCTGTAGTCAGAGCCATTTTGATCATAGCTCGATAGTCTGCAAACTTTAGTCACCACTTTTTGATCAGCTGTCGAGCTTCTGCTGACTATAGGCAAAGTCCATTGATTAGCTATTTACTATCTGCAGGCTGTAGTCAGTCTAATGGTCAGCTGTCGGTTGTATAGTGACCGTCACAGCCGTACGGCGCAGAGAGTGTTTGTCAGTTAGTAAGTGTTTCGTGAAGTTTATAACTTGGCACGATCCAAGAAGTTTCATAGATATACATCAAGCGAATGCCACCTGATTTAACATGTTTTGACATTGAGAATGGAAATCAAAAGGTTTTCATGAATTATATAGTTTGCCGGAAATGTCGACTCAATTCACAAGAGTTAACATGTTTGATTTGTTTTAGCATTGTACGGAGATATTTGGAAATTTCATTTGACCTTTGACCTGTAGTAGCATCAGTTCTAGCAGTTCCTGATATCTTCGTCAGAAATTCATCAAAGGAAGAAGATACCTTGTCTGCTTTGGTGGACAGGAATGACAGAATCAACATAGAAACCACTTGACTCAGATTAGATCCATTCAATTGGTGAAGATTGTTCACATGATTTATATAGTCTTACACAACGTGGAGGACTTAGAACCGAATCCCGGTTCCAATGTGCTTGCTTCCGAGCTCCCGTTCAAAAAAATCTAGAGTAACAACAAGAGGCACATCATCGTTTCCAAGAAACACCTCGAACAGAAACCAGTGGGTCGAGCTTAAACTCCAGTAGCGACCTACATGTAAGTGACTTTAACTACCATTTCTAGACCTCCATTTGTTGTTTTAACACAGGTCCAGAAAATGGCGCTTGCTGTCGTTCAGGGAACTTCTCCTGAGATTGAGACTGAAATAGATTCTGCCAGAACTACTGACACACTGTCACCAAAATCAAAGGTCAGTGACACTTCAAAGTCAAGTAGTGGTTATACTTCGTCTGACAGCGAGACACAAACCCAGACCGAGACTGTCAGAGACACAGAACATGGTATATCTCAGCCACCAAAACCCTCAGGATCGAGCAGAGCAACGATATCCTCTCAGGAGACAGTCGGCAATGTCGGGGAAAGGAGGGAAGAGCCAAAACAGAGCATAGGTATGGATCCAGTCTTCTGTAGTCTGTCGATCAGTAAAGTAAATCTATCAAATCTCTAATAATTCTATACATTCTGATCATAGAACCGAATTTAGAAATATAACGCAGCATTACCTCATTAAGAAAAATAGTGTGGTTAGCACTGCACAAACAAGGTGAACGGTGGGTATAAACAGGATAAGCACTTTGATTGCCTCATTTATTTAGCCATATCATGTCATTGGCACTACCGTTTTGTTATGTGGTCTTTGTGTACAAAATGTTTTTTTCTATTTATGATATGTGACCTCTTTTAAAAATCATGCTCAGTATGAGGACCATTTTTCGTGCATATCCTGGAAAAATCTTTACTGTATATTTCTTGTAATATCACCTTTTTGATTCATTGTATCCCGTGTCGTTGTTGCTTAAGGGCTAAGGAAGCAGGTAGATGGCAAATGGAGCTTTTTTGTTTAGTCGCAATATTCGTCTAATAACATACCCCACATTTTGTCTACATTTAGCCAATTCCTTATTCGATTTCCGGGGAGGGATAATTGGGTTGATAGTGTGTGTGTGTGTGTGTGTGAGTGTGTGAGTGTGTGCGTGTGCGTGTGTGGGTGAGGAGGGGCGGGGAATGTCTTATAAACAAGGAACAATATACCTAAAAACTATTGCAATCTGCATATATGAGTGAGCTCATTTTAAGCGGTTTTAAATTTACCCCCGGCCCAACCCAAACCGTGATTGTTATTGAATAAGAAAATAAAAATAAAGCATGAAAACTTTCAAAATGGAAATTTAAGTTCAATTGCTATTTCAGCATCTTGTCGTGATTCCTGAAATATCGTGATAATTGATATCGCCCTTAAGGCTTCTTGTAATCAGTATATCTTCAATTTGATCATCATGTTTAAATCTCAGATGTTTGTGAAACGCTTAAACAACAGAAAACTAAACCACTTTTTTTTTTATCTCCACAGATAACCGCATGCTTCAAATCAGTACGAGCAGGTATGTAATCTGAACTAAGGGCAAGTTTTTGCGGGTTGTTAACTGGATAACCAAAGGGAATAATTTCCAACAGGTTGTTTGTGTCATGTAAATTTTAGCTCGCCTGGCCCAAAGGTTCTTCTGGAGAACTGGAGGACCTATGATCATGATATTTCGCTAGTAGGTACCCGGGATCGAGTGCTATAAAGTTTCCTCATATAAAATGACCTTGACCTACTTTCAAGGACCCGGGCGTCAAATATGTTAAATATCTCAAACAACAATATCCTAAGAACCAATTAGACTAGAGTCATGATACTTGGGTATGTTATGTAGACCAGCAGTGCAAATCTTTTATATATATTTATAACAGTAATGATGTCAAAGGTCAACTTTCAGTGATAGTCAGGGGTCAAAGGTCAACATGAATTAAAAGCTTTAACAATCTTCTTCTGAAGTTCAATAAGGCCCAGGGTCAAACAACAATATACTTAAAACCATTTGGACTAGAGTCGTAATACTTATGTATGTTATGTATCAGTTGTAGCAGGTCTTCATCCTATTCGTCAAAAGATTCCTTGTCGGCGGATACAAGGACCGCGATGACGGCGTCAGTAGACAGACCACTTTCCTCATTTGATGAAGATTTGCAAGGTGATATAACTTATTCTACATGTCAAACGATGACCACAACTCTTACTGAACCACAGCAATTACAATCAAACGAGAGTGTACAAGCTGCTCGTAAACGACATGCAATATCCTTGGGAACGTCTCCTCCACAAAAGAGACGATCACCATGTCCTCTTTCACTTCAGAGATCACATTCTCCCTTTCAAAGGAGCAGGTCATCTTCACCTCCGTCACCACCTCAACAATTTCCTCCCAAACCACCCGAGCAATCCCCCGCGCCTTTAGTGAATGCTGACTCAGGGCATTTCAACTCATCGTCAATCTTTACTAAAAGTGAGACTGAATTAGAAATGTCACTGAAAGAGGATAGGACATTTATAGACAAGGATCAAGAAGAGCTAGATTTCCCGTTCCAACACAGCGAGAGTAAACAACAAGATGCACAAATATGTATCCAAAGGACACCTCGAACAGAAACCAGCTCAGATTGCAGTAGCGACTTACATGTAAGTGACAGTGAAATTCAGACCGAAACCACCGTTTCTAAATCTACCAGATGTGCGGAAGCACCGTCACCAAAATCAGAGATCAATGTTACTCCGAGGTCAAGAAGCAGTAATTTTTCGTCTGACAGCGAGACGCAACCCAAAACCGAAACTGACACCGACACAGAACATGGTGTACCGCTGCCACCAAAACCTCCAGGATCCAACATTGCAACGGTAATCGTTCAGAAGGTAGTCAGCACTGTCGAGAAAAGGAAAGGTTCAAAACAGAGCCCAGGTAAGGATCAATCTTCTGTAGTCTTAAAATCAGTAATTTATTTCTTTTAAATCTTTAGTTATTCTTCGTACTCTGATCACAGAACCGAATCTAAAAATAGAAAGTAGAGAACATCTTTTAAAAACACAACACACTGTTTACTCTGTATATACAAAGTGAAACGGAGAAGTAAAAAGATTTATAGTTTTAATTGACTTTTTTTTATTTTGTTTGCATAGCAACCGAATTAATAATATGTTAATTTCCCAACTAATACAGAAACATCAAACTTCCAATCTAGACATTTTTCGAATCAATTTTTTTAATGCGTGCAGATATAAAAGATTACATGTACCCACCTATGTCAATTGTTTTTTGCCATGTTTACCCATTCGACTTCTTTGATCTCTATTAGCAGCGTGTTTGATACATCTTTCATATGTTACCTCTTTTTAAACCCCACTTAGTATTAGCTTATCTGAGCTGGTTAGCATAGTATCACCTTGTGGAAATTAATTATACCAAATATATAGGTTAAGGACGTTGGCCTCTTGTCTTTAAACTGATTTTCTCAAGAAACATAACCCGTAGCCTCGTAATAGTTGGTGTGTGGTTTGCTAAGATGAGGAGATTCAATGTTTGTATTTAAGTGCAAAAGACGGCAATTCAGTTAATCGATTCATTTATATTCTTACGGTGTTGATAGATATAATTTACATAAACTCAACGACAGCACTATACCTTTAAAGCCATCGAGAAGAGTCAACTTTATGTCTTGGAATTAAGACAAAAAAAATCGAACTGCTAAGTAAACTTTAATTTAAAAATTGGTCGGTTATGACTTTATTTGATCATAACGAATTCCAAAACAAAACAACACAATATAATACATACGTTGAGTAAGCTAAGAGCGTCAATGCTTTAGATATACCAATACATATTTCAGACATTGATTGCATCTTGGAAATCGTTAAGAAGCAAAACATCGACGACTTCAAGACGTTGGAGAAACGATTAACTACAACAGACAGAAAGAGGATACTGCATATCGTAGTTTTGTATGGCTCCGCAGATATGGTCGAATGTATGAAGACATGGGACTGGATGGAATGGAATGAAGAATGTACTATTCCTAAAAACGTGTTCGGAGAAGCGTTGAAAGGAATAAGTGTCAGCAAAGCAACGGCATTATACCTAGCAACGTTTATGGATAAAACAGAGATGGTTAGCAAGTTAATCAACTGCGCTGGAGAAGACAACATCAAATACTGTTTTAAAAACTTAGAGTTGAGCGACCCAATGGAAACAGAGTACATGCTGAATCTAGCCCAACTATTGAAACGGGAACATTCTGAACTTGAGCCTGCCATTATTCCAGGTCATCGCGTAGGTAAAGATGGCGAACGCAAAAGAGTTTTCATTGTGTATTCCAAAAAAATAACCAATGCTTCTTGCAAATAAGATGAGAGTTTAGGTATGGTTATGAAGCAGAACCCATATGCATTTACAAAAAAAAAGGTAGATGATTTCAAAAAAGACATGAAGATTTCAGGCGAAGACAAAATACGAGCCGAAAAAGCCATAGCTAGAAACCGGGACAGGCTTTGGAGAGATCATAGCAACTTAAACATAATTGGTGTCAGTCCAGTGATATACCGGAGCAATGGCGCGAATATTATCCAGAAACCATGTATTGTTCTCTACTGCAGTACAAAGGGCGTAGTGCCACTAGATGAACCAGATTTTCCGAAACAGTTAGACATAGAAAAGGATGACTCGATAGATGTTGATGTGCATGAAGGCTATTTCCTTCCTGGCGGATACAGTTCACTCCCAAGTACTTCCTACCATGATGTTCTCAAAATGGGCTGCGATATTGGACGGTCGACACCTGTCGGGGATCCTCCTCGGTTTCTTGGCGGCACACTTGGTCCGTTTGTGAAATTCAATAACAAGATTGGCTTTCTCACTTGTGCGCACGTACTGTTTGGTATTGCTAACCCGACAACAACACTGGATTACAAATATGACGTAAATAATAAAATTGAAGTCGTACAGCCCTCCTCTGATACAACGACAGTCAACGGGCCACCAAAACCATGCGGACATGTCAAGAGAGCAATTTTCAATCCAGAACTAAATCCAAGTATTGATGCCGCTGTCGTTGAATTGACTGACAGACTTCCCAATAAAGGCCAGTTTTCGAACACTAAACACAGTAGCTACAAAGAAGCAGGTATGCCTATAAAACTTTGGAAAAATTAGTTATTCATATCAGAAAGTAAACAGTAAATATGTATCTGATTCCCAACGACTGCCTTACTTTCACCATTAGGTTTAATAAATATACATGTCTCAGTGCAATATGGAACCTGTCATGTACACAAATTCGACAAAGGTATTCAACTTTCTCATAATATAAACACTTCGGCTGGGAACGAATGTGACAGGCTAATCAAGGTTCATATGCCTGTTCACTTTACTATTGTAGCATCGTTTGGAAGTATTTAACAGGAAAACATATTTGGGTCAGTTATATTTGACGTGTGTATATTGTATGGAAAGAAAAACGGAAAAACCCATTTGAGCAAATAATTATCTTTTATTTTAACTTATGTCTAAGAAACAGTTTGACATTTATGCATTACAGGGTTTGAAGAACTTCCTGAGTACAACAGTGGAAAAGTTCGAAGGGACCTGACACATTGTGGTGAATATCCGGTTTTCCAGTTTGGAAGCAGTAGTGATGTCACAAAAGGGACAGTTAGCATGTGCGGAGTAGACGTAAGACGTCTGTCGGCAGCTCTGGGTTTGCCCCTAGGTAACGGGGATGTCCAGATGAAAAATCAGTATCAAGTGCGCGGTGCCAACCCAGCCGTATCGTTTAGCTCACAGGGGGATTCGGGCTCAGCTGTTTTCATGAAATCATCGGATGCTGATGATATGAGATGCATCGGGATGGCAATTGGGAGCACGCATGTTGATAAGGACCGCTGCCCATCGGCTGTTGTTACACCTATCGGTGCAGTGTTGGACGCTCTGGGCTCCGATTACAAAATAGCCTCGTTTCCATGATAATGACATACAATGTAATTATGGTAATAACGTAAACATTTCCGAAAAGCCGAAAAGCAAACTCACACAATATTGGTAAAGATGAATATTATTCGGATAGTAAAAACTTAACCTCGGACGAGATTGATGATACTGATGTATTGACTCCTGACGTGTTGTTAATAATACATTTTTTGAAGAATTAGATACTCCAATCACTGAGGACGAATTGGTGGCAGCAATCAGAAAGGTGAAGTGCGGATAAAATTTTAAATGTTTTTTTTTATCGATTGCAAGATTGAATTATTGTCATACATTATATGTCTTTGTCAAGTGTTGCATTTTTCCTATATAAAAGAAGAGTGACGCTGATGATCCCAATAATTACAGAGGTGTATCACTTATTAGCTGTAAGAGTAAATTATTTTCATCAGCGCTTTATAAATTATTGTTAAAATGGGATAAAGAATACAACACTATAGCAGATATTCAATTTGGATTTAGATTTGATTTTCGACGATCTATGTGCTATTTCCTTTGCTGCAGACACTAATTAATAAACTGTTAAAACAGAAGAATAGATGATGTTGCTACTTCATAGATTACAAAAAGCTTTTTGAATTGACTGATAGAAGTTCATTATGATTAAAACTGATAAAACAGGGCATTGATGGGAAAATGTTGAACATTATACAATCTTTATATAACCATGTTTAATCTTGTATCAAATATGATGGATTTTTTTTTATTAGAATACTACACAAGTACAATCGGATTATTTCAAGGAGAAATTCTGTCACAGATCTTGTAGTCTATATATAAATGACTATGAGATGTGTTATGTCTATTTGGAATCAAAAAATGTATAGGAGATGATTTTGTGTATTTTAAATTAGAACAATTTCCTTTATATATCGACGAGAACTGAAAGTTTTCAAGTATTGGTTGAAATTAAAAACTACCAAAAAAATGTGACGTGAAAGTCTGATAAGAACAAAGAATTCAGTCGAATGATGAAAGGATAATTCATATCAAAACTGAATTAGAAAAAATAGGATTAGCGTACTTATGCTAAAGTAATGAGATGGAAAATTGTACATTTAAAATAATAGAAAATAGGTTTAGCTAGAATTGATATCTAAAATAAGTAAATTAGCACGTGGTTATTTATATCAACATTTAGTTGATAATTTATGTTTACAGTATTATTTATGTAAACCTTTTTATTCAGTGTATACAAATATTTTTCAAGTATTAGAATATCGTCGCATAATTTTTAAATAGAGAAAGATAGACAAAAAGATATTTCGAGATATGACAGAATGTGTTCATATAGCAGTTCAGCCGAAATTGAAGATGAATTCCATTTTTTACTTAATTGTTTGTTTTATTCAGATTTACGTCAAAAATATATTAAGAAATATTATTATCGAAAACATTATGTATTCAAGCTAGTTCAGCTAGTATATGTTAACAATGTTAAGGAATAACGGGAACATTTGTACATTTGCCATTCAGGATAAGAAATTAATAATTAAAGGGTTAATTTTTATAATACTATTTCATTTAAGCATGTACACACTTCATTATGGATCACTCTCCGTTTGTTTGTATATATTTTTAACTAATGAGCCGTAAGGCCTACTGATCAAGAACATTGATTTGAGTTGCATGATGGGATGAATGACTTTAACATTTTTTTCGGTGAGTAAAACAGTTAAGATCTTCCAAAAATGATCATAAGTTTTTATAATGCAAGTTTATATCTCTGTTACCATTTGTATTATGTTTCCGATTTCTTGATATATTTATGTTTGTTTTGTTAAGTTATTACACAAGTATGTATAATTCATTGTATACCGGAATTTTTATATGTTTACGCGATCAGAGTAGTTTAATTAACTTTTTGATTCTTTGACTTATTGACTTATTGACTACTTTATTTTTATTATATCTATACGACAATCATGACTTTTTTAATAATGTGAAAGCTGTCATTGGAGAAACCAAAGTTATCGGCTATCTACATATCTGTGTTCTGTGATTGATTCTGGATTCTTCTCGGGTGGATGATATGTGAACGGTATAGGCCGTCAGAGATTCTTTTGTTTGAAACTCGATGGGATGAAAGATTTACACATAGAATACTGGCAATACACCTTTCACATATACTACATGTACCTGTATATATTTTTTATATTTTTCAAGTATTAGAATATCGTCGCATAATTTTAAAATAGAAAAAGATAGAAAAAATAACATTTCGAGACATGACAGAATGTGTTCATATAGAAATTCAGCCGAAATTGAAGATGGATTCCATTAAATATTATTTCCGAAAACCATATGTATTCAAGCAAAATTAGCCATTGTATGTTAACAATGTTAAGGAATAACGGGAACATTTGTACATTTGGCATTCAGGATAAGAAGTAAATAATTGAAGGGTTAATTTTTTATAATACTGTTTCATTTAAGCATGTAAACACTCTGTTATGGATCACTCTCCGTTTGTTTGTATATAGTTTTAACTAATGAGCCGTACGGCCTACTGATAAAAAACATTGACTTGAGTTGCATGATGGGATGAATGACTTAAACACTTTTTCGGTGAGTAAAACAGTTAAGATCTTCCAAAAATTATAATAAGTTTTTATAATGCAAGTTTATATCTCTGTTACAATTTTCATAATGTTTCCGATTTCTTGATATATTTATGTTTGTTTTGTTAAGTTATTATACAAGTATGTATAATTCATTGTATACCGGATTTTTATTATGTTTACGCGATAAGAGTAGTTTACGCGATAAGAGTAGTTTACGCGATAAGAGTAGTTTAATTAACTTTTTGATTTTTTGGACTTATTGACTATTTTATTTTTATTATACTTATACGACAATCATGATTTTATTGATAATGTGAAAACTGTCATTGGCGAAACCAGAGTTATCGGCTATCAACATATCTGTGTTCTGTGGTTGAATCTGGATTCTTCTCGAGTGGATGATATGTGAAAGGTATAGGTCGTTAGAGATGTTTTGTCTGAAACTCGATGGGATGAAAGATTTACACATAGAATACTGGCAATACACCTATCACATATACTACATGTACCTGTATATATNAATCATGATTTTTTTAATAATGTAAACCCTGTCATTGGAGAAACCAGAGTTATCGGCTATCTACATATCTGGGTTCTGTGGTTGAATCTGGATTATTCTCGAGTGGGTGATATGTGAAAGGTATAGGCCGTTAGAGATTGTTTTGTCTGAAACTCGATTGGATGAAAGATTTACACATAGAAGACTGGCAATACACCTTTCACATATACTACATGTACCTGTATATATTTTTTTTTATATTTTTCAAGTATTAGATTATCGTCGCATATTTTTAACATAGAGAAAGATAGAAAAAATAACATTTCGAGACATGACAGAATGTGTTCATATAGAAATTCAGCCGAAATTGAAGATGAATTCCATTTTTTACTTGATTATTCAATTTATTCAGATTTACGTCAAAAATATATTAAGAAATATTATTATCGAAAACCATGTGTATTCAAGCTAGTTCAGCTATTATATGTTAACAATGTTAAGGAATAACGGGAACACATTTGTACGTTTGGCATTCAGGATAAGAAATAAATGATTGAAGGGTTAATTTTTATAATACCGTTTCATTGAAGCATGTTAACACTCCGTTATGGATCAGTCTCCGCTTGTTTGTATATATTTATAACTAATGAGCCGTATGGCCTACTGATAAAGAACATTGATTTGAGTTGTGGGAAAGGATGAATGACTTTAACACTTTTTCGGTGAGTAAAACAGTTAAGATTTTCCAAAAATTATAATCAGTTTTTATAATGCAAGTTTATATCTCTGTTACCATTTGTATAATGTTTCCGATTTCTTGATATATTTATGTTTGTTTTGTAAAGTTATTATACAAGTATGTCTAATTCATTGTATAACGGATTTTTATTATGTTTACGCGATAAGAGTAGTTTACGCGAAGAGTAGTTTACGCGATAAGAGTAGTTTACGCGATAAGAGTAGTTTAATTAACCTTTTGATTTTTTTGACTTATTGACTATTTTATTTTTATTATATTTAAACGACAATCATGATTTAATTAATAATGTGAAAACTGTCATTGGAGAAACCAGAGTTATCGCCTATCTACATATCTGTGTTCTGTGGTTGAATCTGGATTCTTCCCGAGTGGATGATATGTGAACGGTATAGGCAATTAGAGATGTTTTTTTATCGGAAACTCGTTAGGATGAAAGATTTACACATAGAATACTGGCAATACACGTTTCACATATACTACATGTACCTGTATATATTTTTTATATTTTTCAAGTATTAGAATATCGTCGCATAATTTTAAAATAGAGAAAGATAGAAAAAATTACATTTCGAGACATAACAGAATGTGTTCATATAGAAATTCAGCCGAAATTGAAGATGAATTCCATTTTTTCTTGATTGTTCACTTTATACAGATTTACGTCAAAAATATATTAAGAAATATTATTATCGAAAACCATGTGTATTCAAGCAAGTTCAGCTATTATATGTTAACAATGTTAAGGAATTACGGGAACATTTGTACATTAAGCATTCAGGATAAAAAATAAATGATTGAAGAGTTAATTTTTATAATACTGTTTCATTTAAGCATGTAAAAACTCCGTTATGGATCACTCTCCGTTTGTTTGTATATATTTTTAACCAATGAGCCGTACGGCCTACTGATAAAGAACATTGATTTGAGTTGCATGATGGGATGAATGACTTAAACACTTTTTCGGTGAGTAAAACAGTTAAGATTTTCCAAAAATTATAATCAGTTTTTTTAATGCAAGTTTATATCTCTGTTACCGTTTTTATAACGATTCCGATTTCTTGATATATTTATGTTTGTTTTGTTAAGTTATTACTCAAGTATGTATAATTCATTGTATACCGGATTTTTATTATGTTTACGTGATAAGAATAGTTAA